GGAACTGGAGAGGTCAGATTATGCCGCATAAATTAATTGCTTGCGTGCTTTATCCCCCATACACTGAAACGATTCATTTAGTCTTAAAGAACACCCACCTCGGCTACTACCTTGACGAAGTGAAGAAGGAGTGTGCATGTAAGCGACCATAAAGATTTATTAACAAAGATGCGCTCAATGAGCACTTCCACAAAGCAAGATGGTCTTCAACTGATTACACTTCATCCCTACAACCATCACTGAATTTTAGAGAATTCGTCTTCCTATTATTTTGATTACTAATGCGTACCGTGAAGAACATCATCCGTTATTGGTCATAATAACTTACTCACTGTTGGGGGGATGGGGTATTTTCTTGGTTGAAACTTGATGACAACGCATTTTCACTACCTCATGTTCAAATGGCTTAACTGAATTGGTCTCAACCACAAAAACTTAACAAAGTTGTTTGACGCGCAATGGAGTGGTGATACCTGACAGTTGTAGGCAAAATTACCCCATGGGCAGTTCCCATATATGCAATGTCTTCATTGACTTGGTGCTTGAGCACCCTCAGATGAGCATCACAAAAGTGGGGCCAGAAATTGGAGACACTTATTATTCTGAAGTCGATTACCAATCGTCTATCGGCTAGAAAAAAAGTAGTCGTTTAATGACGTTTTCCGTATCACAGTTAAAGCGTTACCTCATTAAATCAACCGGATAGGTTAATTAGATACCATCATTTACGCCACTCTCATTCACCATGACCAATTGAGTTTACAATTCATTAAACACACACACAGAAAGCAGTCTTCTGGACATAAAATGGTACAAGCTTAAAAAACGTGAAGCGACCCGTTATAGAGCACCTCCAGGATGACCGACGATAAAGTGTTCATTCACCTAGCATACGTGGCAACACAAATCACTTCTCATCAAACTATTCACAGGTCATTCTTCCAGTCAGTCAATCGGTCAGCAAACCACTACACGCACAACAGCTCATAGCGCACATGGAGTAGGTGAAAAGAAAAATAAATTCAGGGTCTGCCAATCCGACTCTCTGACACCTGTTAACCCGTGGCATCTGGAAGGCAATCATGTGCTCACCCTTCGCCACCACAGCTCCTTCAAAAGTAATGTAGGAGTGAACCAACTGCTGCATCACCACTCATATTAGACACCGCTGTTGGTTACTCGTGACACATTGATCCTCAGTGGCCTTAACCCAAAGACACGTAATTATTTGTTAGTCAAAACAGAGGGGCTTTGTTAATGTGATGTCCTTCAAGTGACTCAACATCACTGCAAACTGTTTGAACCAGTCGTTAACAAGCAATACGTTTTACTATTACCTGCTGCACCCTTTACAAATGCTAGAAAAGAGTCTGACAAAAGACTACATTCTACCTCAGCCTTAGAACAGAGGTAAACCTCATTCCTAAAGTAGACGAGCTTGAACCACACCGATTTCAACTAGTAATAATGAAGATTCAATCCAAGAACATTGAAGAATATCATTATTGATACTGACACATGCTTTTTACAAGCCTCAACACGTGACTGCAACGAGTTTCACCAAAACTGCACGAACTCCTTCAATCATTTAAACGATTCTAGGTCCACTTGCGATTCAGCAACATCAAATGTAGAAATAACAAGCGAGGAGACATTTCCGGGCAACGATGGTCCAAATGAAGAGGGATGGTCTGCAGGTCGTGGACAAACTGCATTCGGTGATTTTAGAAAGACACTATTACCACCACGACCGAGGGCCAAAACAACTGTCTTTCAAAAAATATTCAGTCAAAAATCTGTGAGGTTCAGACAATTAATCCGAGGATTAAAAGTTCCCTGAATCACGCCATTGGGGTGTCCAAACACACACTCGACGTAGACTATAAATACCACACATTCGACGTTGAGGCAGCAGTCCCAATATTGTAAAGTCTTAGTAAATAAGAATCACCAATGCAGAAGAGTGACTTATCC